TCATGCTCTCTCTCCTTCATACCTTTGTATGGTTACTTTCATACCAAAGAGAATGGAGTTGATAATATAAATAATGCAAACCTTGAATAAGAAGGTAAGAAAACATACCGCAACCAACTTCGAGAAGCTTCTCCGGAGTTGAGATCAAAGTTCGTAGATGCTTTAAAACTCAATTTCAAAATTGCCAAGAGTATTTGTATACCATACCATCGTATGTTAGAGACATTCACAGTGTTGGCCTTGACTATAAATGAGATAGATGATCGCCTAAGGCCCCCTTCGATGAGGGCCCCAAAAAAATTACTATATCTTATTTTACATGTATTTTTACATATATACACAGTCCCATATTTAAAATTAGTTTAAGGCCCCCAAAAACTCATGACAGACCTTGGACGTTCATCCTCAACTCTATGTCCTTGCTTGAGTCAAGGTTTACAACATGTCCAATATTTTCTATATGAACGTATCGATTTCATTACTTTAACATTTTAAAGCATTATTTACTTGATGTCAATGATCCGTGCACTTGAACACAAATCGAATCTGCAAATTTTCTTCTTTATCTTTACCTTCCCCATGGAAGTATGTTAGTCATCACAACTTTAATTGTTTATACGAACTGTTAAGCTATCACCAATAGTTAGGAATTCAAATTAAAAAGTGTTAGTGGCAAACAGGATTGGTGCCCAACATAGATAATTGCTGCTGTTTTTTGTTAACTTATAATTGAATTTCGAAAATTTTGTATTTTAATATTATAGCTAGAATTGCTTTTCATCATCCTCCCAAACAACATCAGCATGAGAAGAAATCAAAAGAATTAACCCTCAAGTAAAGAATTGAGATACGATTTGTGGAGTTCTTGGAGAGTATTGAAGAGATTTTGATTTTGATTTTCGAAAATTCTTTGTTCAACGGCACAATGGTAAAGTTGAAGATTGGGATTTACTAGGGTGTAATTTGTGGGTGGGTTATACAACGTGTTTGGTGGAATAATTTCAGTTATTACTATATTAAATATGGGATTGAGTATACTTTCCATTTTTCAAATATACTACATATATTGCAGTATACTTGGTGAAAATAGTTTTGAAATGTCAAAAGGGGATTTTTAATTAAATTTTAGGTACATGGTAACATTTCCTCTTTTAAAAAATGGAAATTTTAGCCCAAATTCATGATGAAATGAAAAGAAAATAAGAGATTTAGTTCAGCCTAAAAATTAAATTTAGCCTAACTAATTTCATTCCCAACCCAAGTCCAATGTTTAATTATTCAAATTTAATTTAAGGCTCCACAATAATTACACATTCATTTTATTCACATTCATGATACACAAATAACTTGTTATCAAATTAGCTATTTTATTTAATACATATTTAACTAAGTTTAAAGAGTTCACTTATAATTGAATTAGTTTATTATATAACTTATTTAACAATATGAGGTGCCATATGTTTGATTAAGCTTAAAAATAATTAAGGGGGTGTTCTCTTTGTGTTTCAGTTTTGTGTTTTGAGTTTTGAATTCATCTTGAGTTTTGTGTTTTGAGTGTTTGTTTTGAAATTATTGAAAATGCGTTCTTTTTGTTAGTTTCTCAAAACAAAAAAAATAAATTTTTTTTTTTTTAATTTTGAGAATCACCACAACACCACCTAAAAAAAAAAAAAAATAAATAAATTAATTTTAATTTTTTTTTTTGAAATTTTGAGAATCACCACACCACCTCCTAAAAAAAAAAAAAAAAGGTTGTTTCCCGCGTTTTCAATTTTTTCAAGTTTTACACTGAAAACGCCCAAAACGACAAAAAAGTCGTTTTGTGTTTTCTTCACAAATTTTTTTTCGTTTTCGAAAATTCGTTTTTAAAAACGGGAAAGAGAACACGTTTTCACCGTTTTGAAAAATCGAAAACAGAAAACGGCCCGAAAACGGTAAAGAGAACAGGGCCTAAATTTTTGCTGATGTATTTTTTCATATATTACTTATTTATATTTATGAGTTAAAAATTTATTTATTTCGACCATGAGATGAAGGTTATTATCAAAATAAGTAATATACTCTATATTTAATTTTATTACTTAAAGATATATTTGTTAGAATTTTGTCACGAGTGTCCAAAAAATATATTCCGACATGCTTTTGTCACGAGCGTCATGAGTTTAACCTTATAAACTAAATCTCGTGTGATATAGAGCATCTTTTTTGGTATGAATTTATTGAAAAAAAAATTTAGATTTCAGTCCATCCTAATATATTTTTCTGGCTCTGGCCCTGATCCTGATAAGACTAACTAGCCCCTGTTTGGCTTTCATTAAATTACATTTCATTTTTCTCTCTTCTATTTCAACCATACAATCTTCCATAAAATAATATTACATATAAATCGAAAACATTTCATTCTTTTTCAACCACTCATTTTTCAAAAAAATACTATTTCACCAATTTTCATTTCCGAAAAATGGGAACCAAACAGAGATTAAATGGCATCAAAATTAACCCATAATTTGCAACATTTTTCACTTATTTGAGACAATTTGAATTTTAAATGGTAAGATATTTCAAATGGGAAAATGGTCAATGGCTTTTTATTGATGAATAATGAGTAATAATTTGTAAAATTCGTTAATTTACCTTTTTCTCTTCTCAAAAATATATTATACATCGTATTCTTCCATTTTACGAACATTTTACCAAGCAAAAAACTCTATTTAAATAAACAAAAATCATAGTGACACGGCATAGCATACATACACTAATGACTTCTCAAAAAATTATTAGTTTATATTTTATGTGAGGTTTATGTGAATATTTTATAATGTATTATATTATTAATTGAGCTAATCATTCATTTAGAACGTTATTCCATAATTGAGACGTCCAAATATTATGTAATCGTTTTTATTAATTTATTGGGTACTAAGTTATCAAGGTTTTATTATACTCCATCCGTTCTATTTATATAGGATAATTTTGCTTTTTTCACACGAATTAAGAAATTTTAATTAATGTTATTTAAAAAGCAAATATTGTAAAAAAAATTCATTGTTTACCCTTTTTTATTTGTGTAATTCTAGATTAAGTGTGGAAAATTGATTATAACTAAGCAAATTCAGGGCATGTTCGGTAGTGATTATAAGAACCAATTTTTTTTACTATTAGAGAGAAAAATAGATTCCACTTGTGAATGAAGAAGTCAAAAATGACGACTGACTATTGAAAATAGCGGTAAAAAAATTATTTTTTAGGGTGAAAAATTAGAACCAAACGAGGGCTAAATAAGGGTATATTTGTAAACTAACAAAATAAAACATTTTCAACAAGAAAAAATAATTATATAATTGAGACAAGAAAATAAGAAAAGTTAAGCTATATAAATGCGAGGGACAGAGTATATGTACAAAGTGAAATTATCCTCATATGATGTGACAATTGATGAGTGTAAAATTATAAAAAACCATTTTAGTGGTCTTATGAAAAGTCCTATGACATGTTTGATGTTCATTACTTTGAAAAAATATAGTTTTAAATAGTGATTTTTTGTAGAATGTGTAATAAGAAAATAAGAAAAAATTTAAGTTTATATGTAAAACATTTTATTGTTTAAACGTGTTGGAAGTCGAACTGTTGATCACTTTGATTTAAATTGTGCTTCCACAATTTTAACTAAAAGCGTGTTTTGTAAAGTGACACTTTACTAATGGAAGGAGTCAACTGGATTGTGATACGTGCTGATCTCTTGGCCGTTGAATCTGATTCTAGATCATTCTATGTATTTAACCCTAAATGATTTGGGTGGCTGTTGGCTTTTCATTTTTTACTCCATTCGGCTTCTCGAGTTCGAGGGTTTTTTGAGTCGCCTCTCTTTCTCTCTCGATGAATCTCTCATTTTGGCTCTGTTCTTGAGTGATTTTCAGAACTCTTTCTTGAGTTAATCCAGAATATGTTATAGATATCTAAGCTACTTAACTGCCGTGTTGAGTTTATGGAAATCTGAGTGGTTTCATGTGATGTGCGGTCGGGTTTGATGAAATCTTGGTGATTTCTTGTGTTTCTTGTGTGGAATAGCTTACACATTGTATAATGACTTGTAAAGTCATGTGATTCTTGGATGGCAGTACCTGTGACTTAAGTGTCTGAGTGATCTGTTCGTGGTTTCTTCGTGAACCGTGGTCTGCCTTGGTGAATCTTTATGAGATAAGTCTTTGTGACTTGTATATTGTAATATTCTGGAAACATTGTATACTTACTGCCTGATTTTGGGGGCCTTATAGTGCAACTGAGCTGAATCCATTGATAGTGGATGCTCAACAGGGGATTGGCACTTGTGCTGAAGCTCTGGGGCTTCAGCCGAAAAAATCATTGTGTTCATTATTTTTGCACTTTTATTTTCTGCATTTCTTGGTTCGGTTTCTATGAATGTTGGTTAATCTTGAGTGTCTCGCCATTTCAGTGGTATCAGAGCTTCTTGGAATATTGAGGACACCTGATTCTTGAAGGAATCGGATTCTTGAAACCTGCTCCAAATGCAGTGAGCACTGGCTGCAGGAATCTGAGTTCTTCGAACTTATTTGGTGAGATCTTTCCTATATTACTCTGTTGGTAATATTTACTGTAGAATTTCCTGAATATTTTCCTCGACTTACCTTGCATTATAAAACCTACTGTGCTTGGTCTTTGTCCTAAGACTCTTGAAGTTATAGGAATCTGAGATAACAACGCAGTAAGGTCTGCCATTGGAAGGTCCTGCTAGAGAAATTCAATCTTGACATACATAGGAATTGTGAACTCTGTTTGATATTCCTGCTTCTTTACTGAGTGCTGTGTGTTCATTGCTTGAGTAAATCAGTTGAAGTCTTTACTGATTGGATAAAAGTGCATAAGTGCATTGTTGAATTTATCCCTGATCCCTTAATCAGTCTGCAGTCCCCACATTGTATGTCCCTATGTGTTCTTGAGACCAAACTTGTGTGCTGTGTATTAACTTGGTGTTTCTTGCAATGGCGGCCACTGCTAAGTTTGAAATGAGCATGTTTGATGGAAGGGGGGATTTTAGTATGTGGAGTCAGAAAATGAAAGCTATTTTGATGCAACAAAGGTGTGCTAGAGCCCTAGATAATTCTTGGCCTGCTGAGTTACCTCCTGGTAGAAGAACTGAGTTAGAAGAAACTGCTTGAAGTAGCATTTTCTTATATCTTTCAGACAATGTGATCAGAACCATAGGAGAAACTAAAACAGCTTCTGAATTGTGGAACAAATTGAAAGCACAATATGAACCAAAAACTGTTCCAAACAAATGTTTTTTGCTAAAACAATTCTTTTCTTTCAAAATGGATCCATCTGTTGACTTAGAAGAGAACTTGAATAGGTTTACAAAGTTGACCCAGGATCTAGCCAACTGTGATGAAAAATTATCACAAGATCAGTTGGCTGTGGTCTTGTTGAACTCCATTAGTGATAGGCATAGAGATCTAAAGAATGCCTTGGAATATGGTAGATAAAATCTTACCACAGACATCATAACAAATGCCTTAAGAAATAGGGTTTTTGAATTAAAATCAGATTCTATTAACTAACAAAGCGGAGAAAATCTTTTGTTAAAGGGCAAGAATGTTGGCACATCTAATTTTCATTCAAAGTTTCAAAATAACCCTAGAAAAATGAAATTTGACAAAATGAAATCTAAATATAAGGCAAAGGGAAAGAAATGTTACTACTGTGGTAAGTTGGGTCACTTTGCTAAAGACTGTTATAAAAAGCAAAATGATTTGAAAGAAAAGAAGATAAGTGAAGGTAACGATGTTATATCCCATGATAAACAAAATGTGAACTATGGTCTGGTTTTTGTAAATGTTGAAAGGAACCTAAATCAAGAATGGATTCTTGATTCAGGTTGTTCTTTCCACACGTGCCCTAACAAAAACTATTTTTTGGATCTTGAACAAACTAAAGGTAGCCAAGTTATCATGGGAAATAACATGACTTGCAAAGTAAAGGGTGTTGGAACAATAAAACTACTTCTGGAAAATGGTAGAATTTTACTTTTAAAGGGTACCAGATTTGTTCCTGAATTAGAAAGAAACCTAGTGTCTCTAGGAATGTTGGATGACATGGAGTTTGACATAAAATTGGGTCAAGGACAGATAAAAATCTTTAGGGATAGTGATTTAATCACTTCTATCCCAAAGAGACATGGTTTATACTTTCTAAATGCAAAACCTTTATTTGGATTTTCAGCAACAGTTTTAGATGATAAAAATAACCTTGCAAAATTATGACATTGTAGACTTGGTCACATTGGGTTGAAAGGGTTAAATGATTTACATAATAAAGGTGTATTTGGAAAACTAAACATTGGTGACTTGTCTAATTGTGAACAATGTTTGATAGGAAAACAAGTTAAGTTACCTTTTCCCGTGAGTACTCATAAATCAAAGCAAATTCTAGAATATTTACATGCTGATTTGTGGGGTCCTTCATCTACCCCTACATTGTCTGGTTATAAATATTACTTGTTGATTGTTGATGATTTTTCAAGGAAAATTTGGGTTTTTCTATTAAAAACCAAAGATGAAACTTTTACTATTATCAAAGATTGGAAAACTCAAATTGAAAATCAAACTGACTTGAAAATCAAGACTTTAAGAACAGACAATGGTCTAGAATTTTGCAACTATGAGTTTGATAATTTCTGTAAAGAGCATGGCATTTTAAGACACAAAACTGTAACCTACACACCCCAACAAAATGGCATTGCAGAAAGGATGAATATGACTATATTAAATAAGGTTAGATGCATGCTTTTAAATTCAGGCCTGCCCCAATTATTTTGGGGTGAGGCTGTGAAAACTGCTGCATATTTGATTAATCGAAGTCCTACAAGTGCTTTAAACTATGATGTGCCTGAATCTGTGTAGACACAAAAGCCTGTTACTTATTCTTACTTGAAAACATTTGGTTGTACTACATTTGCTCATCAAAACATAGGGAAATTTGAACCTAGATCTGTAAAGTGTGTGTTTTTGGGCTATGTTGAAAATGTTAAAGGATATAGGCTGTGGGTTTATGGGGAAAAGGGTTATAGAGTAATAATAAGGATGGATGTGGTCTTTAATGAATCATGTATGCCATGTTTGGAAGGGAAGAAAGGGAACTTAACTGAAAATGATGTCCAAATTGAGGTGGAGCCTACTAAAATTGATGATATCAGTTTTGCCCCTCTAGAAACTGAATGTACAGAGGCTGACTAGAATGAGAATGAGCCTGATTTGACTGAATCTGATCAAGGTGATGACTTAATTCCACCCCTAGATGAGTACCAGCTCACTAGAGATAGGGATAGAAGGCAAATTAGACCACCTGCTAGGTTTAATAGTGATGACTTTGTGTCTTTGTTCACTTACCGAGAAGAAATTGAATCTGAACCTAGTTCCTATCATGAAGCCTTGAAATCTAAAGATTCTAAGCGGTGGTTGAGTGCTATGGAAGAAGAAATGTCTTCCTTATACAAGAATGAAACTTGGGAATTGGTTGACAAACCAAAGGAAAGAAACTAGTTGATTGCAAGTGAATTTATAAAATAAAGAAAGGGGAAGGTGGCACTAATAATGTTAGATACAAAGCTAGACTAGTTGCCAAGGGTATCACACAAAAGGAGGGTGTGGACTATGATGAGATTTTTTCCTCCGTGGTCAAATATACAACTATAAGATGTATTCTTGCTTTAGCTGTGCAATTTAAATGGAAACTTGATCAACTAGATGTAAAAACTGCTTTTCTTTATGGTGAATTGGATGAAATTATCTACATGAATCAGCCTTTAGGATTTATAAAAGGAAATCCTGAAAAAACTGTGTTTGCTGAAGAAATCTTGTCTTGAAACTTTGGTTTTTGTAGAAGCAATTATGATACATGTCTTTATTGTAAAGGAAGTGGTGGTAAAGATTCTTTGTATCTTGTGCTTTATGTTGATGATATGCTTCTTGCTAGTGCCAATAAAGCTGAAATTGATGATATCAAACACAAACTAAAATCAGAATTTGATATGAAGAATCTTGGTTCTGCTAGGAAGATACTTGGCATGCATATTAAAAGAGATGAAAAATCTGATTGCTTGATTTTATGTCAAGAAGAATATGTGAATAAGATCCTTAAAAAGTTTAATATGATTGATTGTAAGGCTGTGACTTTATCCCTTGCTAATCACTTTATTCTAAAATCTGATTCATGCCCTAAAACTAAAGATGAACTTGAAAGAATGTCTAAAATACCTTATGCCAATGCTATTGGTTCAGTCATGTACTTAATGATTTGCACCAGACCTGATTTGGCATTTAGTATTAGTGTTTTGAGTAGATTCATGGGGAATCCTGGTGAAACACATTGGGAAGCCTTAAAATTGTTAATGAGATACTTAAAAGGTTCATCCAACCTAGGTTTGATGTTTAAAATGGATAAAGAGGGGGTAATTCTAAAAAGTTATACAGATTCTGATTTTGTTGGGAATAGAGACAATAGGAAATCCACTTCATCTTATTTTTACACTTTGTGTGGCACTGTAATAAGCTGGAAATCTCAGTTGCAGAAAATTGATGCTCTATCTTCCACCGAGGCTGAATATATTGCAGCCACTGATGCTATCAAAGAAGGCATCTGGCTGCATGGTTTGCTAAATGAACTTGGTTTTGTAGATACTAATCCAATTCTATTTTCTGATAATCAAAATGCAATCCATTTGAGTAAAAATCCAATGTTCCACAGTAGAACAAAACACATTGATGTTAAATACCATTTTATAAGGGATATTTTTTCAAAAGGGTTGCTGAAAATAAATAAGATTTGTACCTTGAACAACCCCTCAGACATGGGAACTAAAGTAATAACTTTAAACAAATTTGAAAATTGTTTGAAGATATTATCTATTGATTCTTTATAATGAATGTACAGGTACACCGAGCATATGAAACTATAAATGCTGGTTAAGCTCATGGCTGCACTATATGCCTTAAAATTATGGAAGCAAGGTGGAGATTGTTAGGAGTCGAACTGCTGATCATTTTGATTTAAATTGTGCTTCCACAATTTTAACTAAAAGCGTGTTTTGTAAAGTGACACTTTACTAATGGAAGGAGTCAACTGGATTGTGACACGTGCTGATCTCTTGGCCGTTGAATCTGATTCTAGATCATTTTATGTATTTAACCCTAAATGGTTTGGGTGGCTGTTGGCTTTTCATTTTTTACTCCGGCTTCTCGAGTTCGAGGGTTTTTTAAGTTGCCTCTCTTTCTCTCTCGATGAATCTCTCATTTTGGCTCTATTCTTAAGTGATTTTCAGAACTCTTTCTTGAGTTAATCCAAAATATGTTATAGATCTCTAAGCTACTGAACTGCCGTGTTGAGTTTATGGAAATCTGAGTGGTTTCATGTGATGTACAGTCGGGTTTGATGAAATCTTGGTGATTTCTTGTGTTTCCTGTGTGGAATAGCTTACATATTGTATAATGACTTGTGAAGTCATGTGATTCTTGGATGGCAGTATCTGTGACTTAAGTGTCTGAGTGATTTGTTCGTGGTTTCTTCGTGAACCGTGGTCTGCCTTGGTGAATCTTTATGATATAAGTCTTTGTGACTTATATATTGTAATATTCTGAAAACATTGTATACTTACTGCCTGATTTTGAGGGCCTTATAGTGCAACCGAGCTGAATCCATTGATAGTGGATGCTCAACAGGGGATTAGGCAATTGTGCTGAACTTCTGGGGCTTCGGCCAAAAAAATCATCGTGTTCATTATTTTTGCACTTTTATTTTCTGCATTTCTTGGTTCGGTTTCTATGAATGTTGGTTAATCTTGAGTGTCTCGACGTTTCAAAACGTGTAGTGGAAAATGAATGTTAAAATTAAAGAGTTTTATTTTAATGAAAAACAATATCAACTCATGTAAGAACCAGAACCATCATCATTTCATATGGATAACATTACATTCCCGAAACTAGACTACTTTCTTGGGCAACAATTGTGATAATTATATTTACACCACACATTTTGTTAACTATATCTGAAACTCTTGGTGGTCTTGGATTTCATCCAGATTATCCATTTTTTAATTTGTTCCATATAATCCCACACCAAGCAGTTTCAAAATTTTCAAAGGAATTATTTTGTTTTCTGTGGTACTTATTGGAACTTTTCCAAATTGAAGTTTCTTTTAATGTTTGTGAATCTCTTGAATGATTCAAAGAAATTACTTTTCTAAGTTTTAACAAAAATGATCCATTTCAAGAAGCACATTTTGAGGCAAAGAAATTCTTCGAATGGTTTTATCCTATTTCTTATTGGATAAAAATGTTTAAAGCATTTTCTTTAAAATTTAAAGATTTGAGAACTTCCCAAAACAATGTTTTTGTAATTCTGATTTTCGAACGGTAAGGATATTTTATAGAAATAGGTTCTTATGAACACTTCTCTTATGTCAAGGAGTATGCAGTCCAACCTTTCAATC